TATATATATGTGTGTATATATATGTTTGTGTGTGTATATTATGTATACAAAAACATACACACACATTATATTTTAATTGACAGGGGGAATATGTACTCACCAGAGAGAGAGAAAGAAGAAAGCACTACCCAAGGGGCATGAGCATGATGCAAACCCTCCTCCTTCATTTTTCTATCTTGTCAGGATTTGGGGTATGCCCGTCTATGTGCCTGGTGATGCCAGGCTGGGATTCAAACAATGGTAAGCCATGTGGGTTCCTGCTCCCTTAATCATTAGGCTATGGGGCCAGCCCGAAACACTTGTTTAGAACTACAGCTCCCCCCCACTGCTTCCCACTCTATTCCCATTCTCCATGTCATTCATTATATTATACATTTCAGTTGATCTTTTTTTCAGTCTTCACACACTTGAATGTTAAGTTCTCTGAGGCCAGGAATATTTGTCTACTTTGCTCAAAACTTTGTGCTCAGTGCTAAGAACGTTGATTAGCATGTAGGTGTCTGAAGATACATAGTTAATAAATCATAGTAAATCTGTTGCACACTGAACCCTGAACAGAATAATAGGAAAGTATTTAATATCATCCTTATCAGAAGACTCCTTCCTGCCCTGGCATTTCTTTAATATTTCTTTTTTAGGGTCAGAGGAAAGAAACTTAAGAGTTACCTCAACCTGCTGAAAAACTAATTTCTAGGTTATGAAAGTTGTAAACTGGAAGGCCATTGGGCAGTTAGACATATGTGCAAAAGATCTAAGATAAGGCTTTAGGGAGTGGTAGGGTTTCATAACAATAAGAGTTTATATATTGGCCTACTTAAAGGAATTTGAATTTGAAAAGTAAATTTAGGGAACCAGCAATTAGCGTAATGGCTATGTTGTCTGGACTCCACGTAGTCGCCCGCGGTTCGTGTCCTGGACCCGGTGGCTTAAAACTCACGCCGGGCGCGTGTGCGTGCGTGCCCAAGATCCCGAGAGGAGAATGGAGGAGAAGGGATTGCGGCGTGACCATCCCCCCTGGGGGGTGATTTCTCGCTTTCTGTCTCTATGTCTCTCTCTGTCTGTCTGGCGAGCGCACGCGCCCTACAGTGAAAATCTCTCCAAAAAAAAAAAGAATTTATCATTCACACACGTAAGGATCTAGGTAAAATTTCTAAAAGTATAATATTGGGCAATTCCTTGCAGTTGTGAAAATAATGCCAATTTTGGAACTGTGGAACATAATCCCCAAATTTAAAGAAAGGAAATCTACTGTAATCGTGGAGTTCCTCAAATAACATTGTTCCTCTTGCCCCCACTCCTCACCACCCTCCTTCCAGCCCTCCCAATCTGAATAATAATGGATGGGGATGGCAAGTGAAGAATTCAGGAGCTGTTGATTGTCACAGCCAAGAAGGAAGAGAAACCACAAGTTCACAAATGTCACCTCACTCAAGAAGGAAGCTCTTTACATGGCTAATCTGAAAACTGCCTCTTCAGTTCATCCTAGCACTGTTCAAAGTGAATACAGTCCATTTCTCTAAGTAAGTCTCAGTTTTCTTAACTTTCTATGTTCATGAAAAATATAAAACAGAGGGACCAGCAGTTAGCATAGTGGCTATGTCGCTGGACTCCCACATAGTTGACCACAGTTCGAGTCCCGGACCCGGTGGCTTAAACTCACACCGGGTGCGTGTGCGTGCGTGCCCAAGATCCCGAGAGGAGAATGGAGGAGAAGGGATTGCGGCGTGGCCATTCCCCCTGGGGGGTGATTTCTCGCTTTCTATCTCTCTGTCTCTCTTTGTCTGTCTGGCGAGCGCATGCACCCTCTCCAAAAAAAGAAAGAAAAAAATATATAAAACAAAATAAAATGAGCCAGGACTTAGGAAGAGGTGCTTTCAGGGACAAAAAAGCAAGGCGATTACCTCAGATTTAAATTTACACTTTTACTCTTTTCTCTCTCTTTTGAGGTCCCCTAACGCACACGCAGTTTTCTTCATTCACTGTCCGTATTCTGAGTGCCTACTGTGACTTGAGCTCCCAACTAGATGTGGAGGCTACAGAGACCAAAACAGAAACAAAGACAGTCCCTGAACCTACATAACCTTTTGGTTGTCGCCAATGGCAAGGCAATGAGGGTAAGCCACAGAGGGGAGCCCCTGGAACTCCCCGAGGGCTCCTAACCCAACGCTCATGCACGGGAGGAGCTGGGGGAGGTGGAGTTCGGTGCTTCCTGCGTTTGGAGCTCTGGATTTGGCGTTTTCAATCCTCCACCCACAGCCCTCCTCTTAAAAAGAAAAAAAAAAAATTAGAGATTAGCCTTTCTACTCCCATTAAAGGAATTTTAGGTATCTGCAAGAAGAGGAGGAGGTATTTTTGAGGAGGGGACATAAAGACTAATTTCACCAGAAATCAGACCTTGTAAGAATTCAGGCAAAAACAGTCATAGCTTCTTCCATTGTCCAGCACCAAATGGTCCCTACCAGTGAGGGACGTGAGTGACCTAGAAGGCTGGAGTGGGGGACAGATGTGCCCCGCTTTCCTGACTGTCCCTCCAGCTTCTGTGCCTTAGGGTAGATGGCCCTCCCTGCCGATGACTGCTAGAGTAACCCCCAGTTAGTTAATAATGAGTGTTGGACCAAGTAATTCAAGATTACTTTCCTAAAATTATGTAAAGATGTTCTTTTTCAGAAGGAAATTGCTAAGAAGGACAAATATATATGCTCAAACACTATTCGTATATTTAGATAAAGAAGAACTTAAAATAGAGACGTGAATACTAAAATCTACCATGCCTACCCTCTGGAGTCGGTCTCAGTGGAAGGAGGACTCAGCACCTGGAGGGCTTTCCGAGAGCTGAGGAAGGCGCCTTGGCCTCCTGAGCAAGTTCGCCTGCTCTTGCCCCTCTGGTTGATGCCACCAGAATCACAAACAGGGCCTGCAGGTGCCTGAATGAGGCAAGACCTAAGGAAAACCCTCGTCTCTGTTCTCCTGCCTCTCCCTCAGCTGCCTCAGGGAGACCATTCCAGATCTGGCCCACAGAAGGTCTGGAGCCATCCTGCACTCTGGTGCAGTGGTGAGGAGGTGGTGGGGAGGTGATGAAGTGGTGGTGGGATGATGGTGGGGAGAGGGTGGGGAGGTGATGGTGGGGG